CAGGGAACAAGCAGGGTGGGACCAAGACCAGGTGGAGGACATGAGGTAATTGACCCTTCGCTAAGCCACACCCTGAACACGCGGCTGGCCAATCACAGCACTGTATAGGACTCGCTCTAACTGAGTCCGACACTTTCATGGCTGCGCTCTATTGACTCTAATGCAAAAGGTGTCGTTTTCTAGCTTGTAATAAATACAATCACTACCCAGAGAGGTCGAAAGAAGAAGTACGATTTATTCTCTTTCCAAAACCTAAAACAAATCCAGAACAATGTAGGCTGTGGATTGTTCCTAATGTAATGTTAGTTAGCTAAGGCTAGCTAACTTACTACTGAATGTAACATTATAGAGCCCTACTGTTCTGTTAATGATTGTAATAGTGAAGAGAGACCTACTCAGATTTACACAAACAGTGATGATCCTTAATATTTTTGTCCTCTTTCTCAATTGTCAGGTGATATGGTGGTTCACTTTTACGCTGTGCTGGGTAGGCTTTAGATAAGATAAGATAACTTTATTAATGCCCCGAAGGGAAAATTTCGGTTGACATAGCAGCATAAAGGAATATAAAAGAACAGATGGAGTATTATAGTATCAATAAGTTTATATAAGTATCAACACACTATTTACACTGTACAATCAATCAAAATTATTTACAACCATTTACAACCAGATAAATTACTGAAATTAAGTGAAATCAGGAATAGTCTCTCAGTTTGGTGCTGTGGTGTTGTGGAGGCTGTTGGCACAAATGAGCCTCCAAAGCGCTATGAGGCTCGGGGCTGAATGAGTTTGTGGCTAAAGGTGATCCTGAACTGCCTCAGCTCAGCATAGAGAGGATGAGAGGGGTTGTCCGTGATTTAGCTTCTATCATTATTTTCTTCACGTCAGTTTGAGTCTGTTTGACAGTCTGAATACAACCTTCAAATGCACAATGCAACTGTAAAACTTTCTTTCTGATATTGTTATTTTCCAAAAATTAGACAATATTTCTCCGGGGAGTGCAGTAATAAACAGTTGCAGCGCCATGCTAAAAGTCCATCAGGTCCGACAGTTTGTCGGACTTAGCAACAGTAACTAAGGGGGGCGTGGCTTAGTGAAGGGTCAATTAGACAGAACACAGACAGGGGTAAGCAGGTGAAACCAATCCAGGGAAACAGACCAAAATGCAGAAACACCAACTGAAATCTCTATAGATTCAGCAGACTGGACAATGAACACAAGGCACTGTCAACTAATACAAGAGAAGAAACAAACAGGAGCTGGAACACAGAACAGACTAAAAAATTAATCATACATATAGACTAGAATCATAACATGGAAAACAGACTGAAACTAGGATCAAACAGAACACAGAGCAGACAAGGCCAAAATAGCAACAAACACAGAAGTACACAAACCAGGAGTAACACTAAGACATTAACTAAGGCACAGGACTAAGAGCTAAGACAGGGAATGAGACCGTACTGACAAAAGTAAACTAAGCTTAACATACCAAATTAACAAAAGAACAAACAAGGCTGAACAGTGGTAACACAAGACACAAAACCAAAATCATAACACAGGGCAGGGAACAGAGACAGGAACAACCAGGAAACAGGACTACACTGAACATGGTACAGATGCTAAAACAAAGCCCAAACTAGGACAAGATCAAATAAACTTACAGAAACACAGAACCCAAAACTGAACCCATGAAACGGACTAAAACAGGAAAAACATGAACACAACCCAAATTCCTAACATGATGTTGAAATAAGCAACATGTTTACATCTGTTTAATCTCGATTTCTTGCATGTTATCATTCAGATATCCATTTTTTTTTACTTTCTAGCACTTGTATTTACCCTAGCTTTAGTAAATAAATACTTTCACATTATCACATTATCAGTGCTGTATATGTGTAATATTTTTTTTAGCATTCAGATATTAAGATTGACAATCAATAATGAATTAATTTATTTTATAATAGTTTCCTTGGTCTTTAAAACTGTGTGGTGCCCCTTTACGAGTGTAAATTAAGTGTAGTAAGATCACTACAAATGGTGGCCAAGTATCCACAGTCAATGCAAGATGGGATATCACTCACTGGTCAAGCAGTTACAAGCCCAAATTGAAAATGTGAGGCGGTATTCAGCACCAAGGATAATGAAGCGCAAACAGATGTCAGATGAGTATGACACAGAGGAAATCCCAGCTGAACAAAGGGCAGCTGTTCAGAACACACATGGCTGCATGAAGTGGGACATAAAATTCATGAGACACCAGAAACCCAACACAAGAAGAAAGACAAAATATAGGTGCAAAAATGTTTTGAAGAATGCACAACAAATGACTTGGAGAATCTATTACACTCGTATGGAGGAGAAAATACCACTGGATGGGGAAGAACCACACCTCGCAATTAAGACCACTTTTAGATAGTAATGGCTGGTGTGCTGTTAATTAATGTCTTTTTTGCAGAACCTCCTGCTTTGCCTCAAGGCAGTTCATGCTCAGTGTAGATGGCAAGGCTGTGAATGACAACATCCCCACCTTCATCTCTGTCATTGGTTTGATATTTGGAAGCTATTACTTCTTCAATATCCACTATCTTGTGGATATGGGCTCCATACCTTTTATTTCCACCTTTAGAACAATCACTGTATATAGTTGTTGATTATGAATTCATGTGTTCACAAAGGTGTTCATCATCAATCCAGAGAAGGGCACAAAAATTGAAACAAAGAAAAACAAGAAGCAACTGTCAGTGAACCATATGTTCTCACCATCATTTCTGCATCCCCCTCGCTTAGAGACACCTTTGCTCTGTTTGGTACTGTCTCACTGCTCCGGAATGCTCAGATGAAGAGTCTCATCCAGTACAGTCCCAAACCAGGGTCTTGTCCTCTTCTCTTGCTCAACCCAACCGGTCAAGGCAGATAGTCGCCCACTCTGAGGATTCAACTTGTGGGTCTCGGATAATAATATTATAAAGAGTACAGTGTAGACCTGCCATATACACTAACCTAAAGGATTATTAGGAACACCATACTAATACTGTGTTTGACCCCCTTTGGCCTTCAGAACTGCTGAAAGCATTCTTTAGAAACATTGGCCCATATTGATAGGATAGCATCTTGCAGTTGATGGAGATTTGTGGGATGCACATCCAGGGCACGAAGCTCCCGTTCCACCACATCCCAAAGATGCTCTATTGGGTTGAGATCTGGTGACTGTGGGGGCCATTTTAGTACAGTGAACTCATTGTCATGTTCAAGAAACCAATTTGAAACTATTTGTAGTGGAGATGAGTGGTACCCGGTGGGGTCTTCTGCTGTTGTAGCCCATCCGCCTCAAGGTTGTGCGTGTTGTGGCTTCACAAATGCTTTGCTGCATACCTCGGTTGTAACGAGTGGTTATTTCAGTCAAAGTTGCTCTTCTATCAGCTTGAATCGGTCGGCCCATTCTCCTCTGACCTCTAGCATCAACAAGGCATTTTCGCCCACAGGACTGCCGCATACTGGATGTTTTTCCCTTTTCACACCATTCTTTGTAAACCCTAGAAATGGTTGTGCGTGAAAATCCCAGTAACTGAGCAGATTGTGAAATACTCAGACCGGCCCGTCTGGCACCAACAACCATGCCACGCTCAAAATTGCTGAAATCACCTTTCTTTCCCATTCTGACATTCAGTTTGGAGTTCAGGAGATTGTCTTGACCAGGACCACACCCCTAAATGCACTGAAGCAACTGCCATGTGATTGGTTGATTAGATAATTGCATTAATGAGAAATTGAACAGGTGTTCCTAATAATCCTTTAGGTGAGTGTATGAAAAGCGCGATAACTTCCTTAAAAAAATGTAATTGAATTGATATAAATTAATGACAAACTATCACTCTAAGAACAGAATACAACCTTTGTTATGCTTCTAAACTCGGCCCATACTGAGAAAAGTGGTCACCCATCTTCCCATGTAAGATCATGAAATGGATGTGTTAGTATCAGTGAGTGGGAGTGCAAGCTAGGCCAAGGTTAGTAGAGTCTGACCAGTCAAACTGGTAGTTGTTATTTATCTGAAGCAGTGAGAGAGGGAGAAATCATGCGGTGTGAATATTTTATTTCTCTGTTCTATTTTATACACTTAATGGCATGAACGTCTGTACATAGTAGATTATGGGACTGATGAGTTTAACAGCTTAGATTACTCCATTTTAATAGACATGCTGGAGGAGTTTATCAAATATAATCCAGGCACTATAGGCTTTTTAGAAGAAGACAACATACTTTATTAATCCCAGAAGGGGAAATTCAAAGTTCTCACTCTGGTGTTATTATTGTTACACAGGTCTGAAATACACACATAGGGAGAGATGTCAGAGTGAGGGGGCTGCCACTCAGTGCGGCGCTGCGAGCAGTTGGGGGTTCAGGAGCTTGCTCAAGGCCACCTTCGGCAGTGCCCATGAGGTGAACTGGCACCTCTCCAGCTACCAGTCCACACTCCACAACTCTGGTCCGAGCTGGACTCAAACTGGTGACCCTCCGGTTCCCAGCCTAATCCTTATGGACTGAGCTACTGCCACCCTGTCCGATGGCCCAGCGGTGGCTTTAAGTTTTTTCCAGAGAGAGACATGAGCCAGAGGTAAAATGCATGCACAAACGTGGCATTTATTGTCTTCCATACAGACAAGATGAGACACCAACACCAACAAGCAACAAAACTTACACTGAAAGCAACTAGCTGCCTTATATACACTCCCTCCTGCAGGTAATTAAACTACTTAGGTGGGACCACCATCATTTAGAATAATAAATATTTACATAAAAACCCAACACCAAGAAAAATTTTAATAGAATTAAAATTAAAATTTCTGAGAAAAATAGAGCACAAAGAATGAAGATTTACATAAATACAAATTTCTATCAATAAATCAATAACACACAATCTCAAAATAATCACATAAATCAGCATTTTTGATTTTACTTTACTCCCCCCCACGCTCAGCTTCATGGTTTGCTCCTGCAGCTCTTAAGCAGGTGCTTGGGTCTACAACACCCTTTTGCCTCCGCCCCCTGCTGAAGAGACAACCAGGAAGAGGTGAGTACTTACATTGTTTGCTTTATCTGTTTAAACTAATTTGATAACCAACTGGAATGGAGCAGAAGCACTCAACACTATGTTGTGAACCTTGGCTATCACTGATTGAGGTTTCTTTCCACACAGGCAGGATGGCCAGACCCCCCTGTGCTTCCTCAACCCCCTCTGGAACTACTCACAGCAAAGACAGTAATTAAATGTTTCACAAATTAAATAAACAATCAAAATCATAATGTGTATTGCTCCTGCTTTATCAATAATCTCCACCTTAATACTCAGTTGACTATTTCAGGTAATGGAACCCCTGGTCTCCATTTCATGCCGCAATAATATTTATTAATATTTATATCTAAATAACTACTTGGACTTTTAACTGTATGTATGTTGTATACTGGAAAACATAAAAACAACTAAGTAATGACCCTCTGGTAGCTGAAAATGTCCGGTTCACACAAACATCCAGCAGATCCCTGCTGTATTATCTGTGTAGTATCTATTTTGAGGAAGATAATACCAAGCTTTAGGCTGTCAGAAAATCTTTTCAGGAGTGGATTGCTTGCAGTGATGCCTCTGTGTTTTTTTCAGCTGAGGTATGAAACTGATTCCTCCATCCTCTGCAAAGCTCTTCCATCTGGATTGGTGCTTATGGTGGCATGCTGGTCACGCTGCATCAGACCACATAGATAAGCTGCTACTACTATAGAAACGTATGTCATACTGTATATCTTACTCAAACAAAGGTCAACACAAAACAAGGATTAAGGACACAGTATTGTTGTTATCAGATGAACTGCGGCTGTGCTTCTGGATGGAAAAAATAAACAAAAGATGCAAATCTCTGTAGGCCAAGAGCTGTCAAAAGAAGAGTGCGTGCCAGCGCTCATTGTCAAATTAAATGTGTTTTAAAAACCACAGCAAGACCTCCACCACGGATGAAGTCCATATTTTTGGAAGTAAATAAATCAATGAACAAAAGAGACTTGTTTAGCAATTGAACGGGCATCTATCAAACCCATCTTGAGCGGTGCAGGAACACCTGAAGCAGAGAATGAGGCTTGCGGCAGCGACCTCAGATACATGGAAAACACACCGCGACCAGTGGTAAGGTTTCTCCATGGCAAAGGGAACAGGGCCCTGGGGACATCAGGGACGACGAAGACATGACGGTCTGGAGTTGCAGTCAAAGACCCCCAGCTTCAGGAGTTCTTTCAGATGAACCTGCCTCCCTGCCCTTTTTTCTCGCTTTCTCTGCCGTTTAATCGTAAATCGTATTAGGCCTTCTCCATGCCGCATACAAACAGCGGTTGCAGACAGAGGTATGAACAGGGCTGCAAATTCACCTGTACGGGAAGACAGAAAAATCCTGATTTTTACATAATTCACTAAAATTTTGTCGTGAGAACACATTTCACCCCACAGAAGCTCGGCAAATTCTCACCAGGTCACTCCCTCAACTCATTATTATCTTGGCTGGCATAACTGCTGCATCAGATAAACTCTAGGTCTGTAACCCCGGCAACTTACGCTGTGAACCTAACCTGCTTGGGAGGAGGTTTATTTCAACTAACGCTGAGTTTCTCTCTGACTCCTCCCATCCTGCGGAGTCTGAAGCGGCCATCTGACATTTCCTCATTCAGACTGTCGATATCAAAGCACATATTGGAACACAGTTACGTCTTTATTAACATCAAAATTACTGTTATGCACGTTGCACATATTTGTTGTTATTGATTGTTGATCTTTGTTATTGTATATTTTTATGTTGTCAGTTTATATATTTTTATGTACACTATATTCTCAACCCAGAATAATGCACATGTCCAGTATATATCTGCAAAGTTGTTCTTCTATTCCATATTTATATATTTCTACATTTATTTTATGTTGACTGTATGTTTGTCTACGTGTAGCACCTTATCACCACAGCAAATTCCTCGTATGTGTAAACCACTACTTGGCAATAAAGCTCCTTCTGATTCTGAAATAGGCTATTAGTTTTTTTTACCCAAACATGATCTTGAACATGACGCTTTTATGATCAATCTGTCATCGATGTATGAACAGAGAGTTATCTTTGGACATCGTAAATTTATCCTCAGCACAGAATAAAATCTATAAACTACACTGTCCTTTATAACACAGTGACTCTGTGGACATTAAGGCAGCTGACAGGTTGGCAACAGTTGCACAAAAACACTTAGGCTACTGTGCGCTACAGTGCTGCAGCGTAGGCTACAGTTTAAACTAATCTGTATAAAACTGATCGTAGTTATCAGCTCGATATGATGTGAATATTTCTGAGTGAGGATGACTGAGGTGCAGCTGAAACAAATGAATGTAGTATAAAAGTGAATTTTTCATTATCTGCTGATAGTCTGAATGTGTTTTGACAGCATTTCATAAAATACGAAATGAGCAAGATTTTATTAATGTAACAGACGTCTAAAACTTCAGTCAGTTTGAACCTAGACACATTACAAAAAAATCATTAATAGGTCTACTGAGTCAGCCTGTCACTTTACAATCACAGGTCCATGAGCAGCCTAAACTACAGATTAGAATCTGTTCGATTAATAATTTCATCTTCAGTTATTGCCACCGGCATTTAGTCCCGTCAGGTTCCAGCTGAATAATCAGGCCTGTAGCTATTTAAAATGAATAACAGGCTGTAGGAGAATTCCAGCACTTTATCAGTCATTAAGGAAATTCCAGTCTGGTAAATGATGAATGAACGAAGCTGTATAAAATGTAATATTGTTAACATATCGATCCTCCACTCCTGCGTTTTATAGCCAATCATGGTCTGCGTTGGCACACATTCATATTTCTAGCTCCACCAGATTAAAATGGAGGCTCTGCCTTTATTTACCCGTTGCCATGGTGAATCGTAGTATCGGAGCTCCATTGATGATGGCTTTTTTTCATCCCCACGCACGCACTTCCATCAGGCTCAACATACTCAGAGCTGACTGAACTTATTCTGATCGGCCTTTCTGAAACCGAAAACTCTGTTTGACAGCTCAGAGTTCAGGTTTACGCTCAGAGTTTGTTGAACCTGCTTTCTGAAATGGAGCTCTGATTTGTAAATGTATTGTTCTGTTGGGCTTGTGTTTTTTTTTGTCTTTTATACTCCAACTAGTCTGTATATACTTTTTAAAGTAAACCGTTTTACTCCCCCCGTGAGTTTGCTTCATTCACTCTGGTCTGGTCAAGAACTCCCCAAATATAGACAGTTTATAAAGTGTCCAACCAGAGAGGGGATCACTGCTACACCACTGTTAGCAGTGCCTATCACGCCGTCACACGCGCTCCACTAGGACACTCTGATAGATAGTGATGGTCCATCTGATTCCTGCTTACAAGCAAAAACTAAAACTCTGTAAACCTGCAGTGAGGACATCAAAGAAGTGGACTAGTGAAGCTGTTGAGGACCTCCAGGCGTGCTTGGACTGCACTGACTGGGATGTTTTCAGGACTGCTACCAACAATCTGGATGAGTTTACAGAGGCTGTGACGTCCTACATCAGCTTCTGTGAGGACAGCTGCATTCCAACACGGATCAGGGTGAGTTATAACAATGACAAACCCTGGTTCACAGCTAAGCTCAGACAGCTGAGGTTGGAAAAGCAAAAGGCATTTAGGAGTGGTGACAGGGCACCACTCCTAAATACATACAGATGGAGAGAGAGGGGAAAGAGGAGCTCAATGCATCACAGGAAGTCTCCTGGCAGGCCTGTAGAGCTCACCGGAGCCAGCCCTAACCATAAGCTTTATCAAAGAGTCTTAAGCCTACATTTAAATGTGGAGACGGTGTCTGCCTACCAAAGCCAACAAGAGAGGAGATTGACAGTTGAAGGCTCTGGCTCCCATTCAACTTTTGGAGACTCTGAGAACTACAAATAACCCTGCATTCTAGGAGTGCCTAACCATTGAAGGATTTCGAGGTGAGCAGAAGGATTTTAAATTTTATTCTGGATTTTACAGGTTAACAAGCCAAGTCCTTCTGTAATGAGCGACTGCCGCACTTGTCAACACTTCTGTAGTACTGAACCAGAGCAGTACATGTTTATCTGCTATTTAGTGGCCTCGATTGATTATCACCAGCCACGTTAACATAAGCTGACTGTGGGTTTCCCCCCCATGCAGCTCTGATTAAGAGAGGTGCTGTCATGGTTTTGGGTTGGTTGGGTGTGTTTTTAGTTGTTTCCTGTTTTACATTGCAGTTCTGGGTTTCACTAGTCTTTCTGGTCTTGTTTTACTGTCTTTGTGTGTTCTATGATTTTGATAAAGTTTTGTCCTTGTGTTAGGTTGTAGTTCATTATATTATTCCTGACATGCTTATTCGTTTTCCTTGTAATGCTTTCTTGCAATATTCTTTAATGTTTTGTCTTGTGAGCCTTTCTTCCTGTTTTATTTAGTAGTGCTCTGCCCCTTGTGATTCTTTGACTTTGCTTTCTGGTCTCCCTTAATTAACTCATTAGATGCACCTGAGTATGATTATGTTCTCACTCCCCTGTGTATATAGGTTGCTCTGTCACTGCTCTCTTCGCCAATTCATTGTTGCTTTTGTGTTAGTGTTCTCTCCAGTGGTCCTCGTATCGCCCTCTCTGTGGATTTATACTGTTTTTTTGATTTGTGATTGTGAACAATTTTGTCAGACTTTAAATTTACTAACTTTTTGTGTTTGCTAAAATCCTAAATTTCTTCAAGATATTTTCAACCTCATAACTTCATTGTGTCAGCCTATTTCTTCCACACACATCTTATAAGCTAGTATAACCATCTGAGCGTTTCCTTGACCCAACACAAGTGGATATGATTAGCAGTGTTTGCCAGAGCTTTTGTTGTGATCATAGACAGCACATTACTAGACAAAGCCACTCTGCGTGTTTGAATGGAGACCAGTGAAGCCAGTTTTAGTCATAAAATACTACTACAGGGCTACTTCCTGTTGGCACCAGTGTATACTTCGCATGATCATGCAGCGTAAGCGTTATGATGTTGAGCAACGTCAGAAACACAGTAATTCTGGTATTCATAGCTGCACCAACAAAAAGTCTCTTTGCTTAGTGTGTTTGTCTCGAATCGTGATTCTTTAATCAGCCCACCTACAAGGCTCATCTGCCAAACACCAACGCAGTGTCACTGATGGCCGAATAGGTTTTTTGTTGTTTTTTTTGATTCACAGATAGCTTCTAATCTAAGCAATACGGTTACATCTCATGTG